TCTCATCACTCTTTTGCATGTTGTCTTCTTACCTACTTTCCAAATTTTATTTCCACTGTAGGGAGCTAAAAAAATAGTGAGTGAGTGGCCGGATCTTGACCTTGAAGCTAGACGCTTCAAGGCCAAAATTGTATCCAACTGTTATGGTTATACTCTTAGAAATGTCATGGATAGACAAAGATTGCAATTGCTTGGTGTGGTTTTCTTGATGATTGCGTCGTAAGTTTGTTATTCAAAATGTTTTGTATCATTGTGTATAATCTTTCTACCTGCATCTGATGCCACAACAATCCTTAACTTGGGAGTTTAATAATATAAATGGGTACTTGTTGAAAGTATGAAGATATTTGTGCTCCTCAGGTGGAAGAATTCTGCTAAATAACTGATAACACATTCAATATTTGTATTTTTTTCTAAAGTTACTTTAGCTTACGTAAAGATATTCCTGCACAACATCCTAAAACGTTCAAAATTTTCAGGTTCCTCAAATGGAGTCTGATGTCTTGAATTACCTATATTCGAAATGACAGCACAAACATTCAAATGTTTATTGAACGACCGAACGCACGTACAACTCTTCCAGTTTCAGTCACGCCATCACCAATTTCTCCCGACCACCACGAGCGTGACCCTTTCTGGTACAACCGAGCAAGGCCGTCAAATGTCTGCTGCTCTCCCTGCCGGAGAACCCTGCTGCTCCTTTTCCAGCATAGTCGTCCACCCGTCCAGACCTGAATTTTTCCGGCGAACCATCATCAAATCGCGTCTGCAAGTCCGGCCGCCGCATCCTCTGTTCAGGTTCACGATTTCGGATCACCGCGTATAACAGACCGTCCGCTGCCGACCACCGCGTCCGCTTTCGAAGTCACACCTCGGCGAACCTTGTTCTCCGCATCTTCACGCTATTTTCGAGCCATGGCCGCCCACCACGATCAGTTTGGTGGCTGAAACCCAGAACCACCATTTTCTGTCTGGTCGCCGCTACTATTTCTTAGCCGAGAGTCCAAACTTCTGAGGCTTGTTGTTCATCTATGTGTCCAACTTTCCGAGCCGACATATCGAGGGTCTGAAGAAAACGACTTCAACCAGTCACTCATCAGAGTTCCAGCCCAAATTCTTGAGTCCCTGGAGTTCAAGCAACGGAGAAAACATATTGCTGAGATAGTTGAAGATCTAAAGTGGGACGGTGTAGACCCTGACATGTTGACAAGGTACCTCAATTGGTTTTTTGCTATTAATTTAAATGCCAGAATCAAATGACCTAAACGGCTATTTATATTCTGAAATTTTGCTAGTTCTAGTTCTGTTTCAGTGTAAGTTACAAATATTATCATATATCCTGATGAATAATCCAGAGTATAACCGGGCTAGGGTTTAAATATAATCACGTGCAGAAATGGATTATTCACCAAGGAATTTCCTTTGCATGAGTTTGGGACAACAATGTTTATGGAAGTGGATTAAATGACTATGGTACCTTATGTTTTTTACGAGACCATCACCTTCGTCAATGCATTTAATTGTATATGTAAATATGCGTGAATAATTATGCAGATTGATTTCACGTGATCATAACTTAAGATTAAATTGCAATATTTTCTTGAAAGAATATTTCCAAACTGAGCTTCACAAAATTGACTCATTCAATTTTTTCTTGAACAGCATCTTCTTTACGGCTTCTTTCTGAAACAGTTTCTGCTTGACTGATGGAAGACTTATTTTAAGTTTTTCTACATTGCAGCAAATTCATGAGTGACATTGTTATGGCCATCTCATCCTCAATTTCCATGAGGGATCGAAGTTCTGAAAGTGCCCGTTTTGAGATTTTGAATGCAGAATACAGGTACCATCACAGTGAAGGATAAGGGAAAAGATAACAAGTTTCATATCGATCATGAGGGGACAGGATAATTTATTTGGTTTATTTCTGGAAATTCAGATTTATCTTTTCCTCTAGGGCTCTTCATTCAGTTTGGGTGTTCACATGCGGCATTCTGTTTCATAAGTATTTAACTAAAATGCTATTCAATTCAAGACAAAAGATTGTAGAGGTTACTTAGTAGCTTGTGGATTTTCAGTTTTTTTACAGAAGGTGCATGTTTAACTGATTGCCTGAGATTGCCTGAAATTATCTGAAATTATCTGGATGATTTATGTCTATTAATAAGTATGTCATTCCTTAGTTTTGTCCTTTTTTCTCCTTAGGGAATGTATTTCCTAATCCAAAATTTAGTAAAATCAACTACCGAGTACTAAGCATTCAAATGCTGTCCGTTGTCTCTAACTGTCGAAACAATTGCGACTCAAGCGTTCCATTTGTAAGATAATTTCTTCTCATTCTTACAATTCCCACAGTGCTGTAATTTTGGGGGATGAAAACTCCAGCATTCATATTGATGCTGTCATTGATCCCTTGAGTCCCTCTGGCCAAAAGCTCTCGGCTCTTCTTCGCATTCTGTCAAAGTACGCTCAGCCAAGCATGAGACTTGTGCTCAATCCCGTGGTGAGTTGCTATCATAACTTCAAATGCTTGTATGACAAATTTATAATTTCCTAATTGTCTGAGAATTTACTACTTTGTTCCTGCAGAGTTCTCTAGCGGAGCTTGCTTTGAAGAACTACTACAGATATGTCGTTACAACAATGGTATTCCATGTTCCTTTTGATTATCACCTTCTCATAGAATCACATGCTTTCAGTTCCTCACGATGTCTGAACTCTTCAGGATGACTTCAGCAGTATTGATCACACAGTGCATGGTCCCAAAGCATTTTTCGCAAACATGCTACTATCTAAGACACTCACCATGAATCTTGATGTTCCTGAACCGTGGCTTGTGCAGCCTCTAGTTGCCGTGTAAGTTTCGAGTCAGGGGGCCTTATCCTTGCTTAAAATATTTGAAGATTTATTTAGAACTATCTATTAGAGATTTGCTTACTTTACTTTATTGTTCAGCTATTTATTTATGAATTAACATTTTGCAGCCATGATTTGGATAATATATTGCTCGAGAATCTTGCTGACAACAGGACGTTGACACCATGACGTTGCAGGCTGTGTTTGAATTAGAAGCTCTTGTTCTGACAGGTACTGTTTGTTATATTATGAAGAGCTTATTACAAAAATACCTGAAAGTTAGTGAAATTACAAAAAACCTACTTATTTTCTAAATTATGAAAAGCTTCTTGAGGTTTGTATATACCTTACAGTAAAACCCTTCTGATTTGCTCTTGAGGGGTACCTTTCTTAGATTACAGACCTCTATTTGTTTAATAAATTTTATGTTCTTTAAATTACGGTGGTTATCTTAATTATCCCAATATTAGTTTTGATAATCAGTCGATCTTGCTATGAACAAAAAAAAAAAAAATCCAGGTCATTGCTCCGAGAAAGATCATGGACCCCCGCGAGGTCTTCAACTGATTCTTGGATCTAAAAATACTCCCCACTTGGTTGATACCCTTGTTATGGCCAATTTGGGTTACTGGCAAATGAAGGTCTTGCCTGGGGTCTGGTATTTGCAGCTTGCTCCAGGAAGAAGCTCCGAGCTTTACCTTATGAAAGAAGACAGTGATGGAAATGAGGGGACATCTTTGTTGAAGCGAATCACGATAGATGATTTGCGAGGGAAAGTTGTTCATATGGAAGTTATTAAGAAAAAGGGTATGGAACGAGAGAAGCTGTTGGTTCCTGCTGATGAAGATGGTCATTCTTCTGGCAAAATAGTTAGAAACTATAGGATTAACATCTATTTGTGTTTTCCTATTTGTAATGTCTGAAAAGACAGTATTTTACTGAGTTGAGAGTCGGATTATGATCATTTTATCCTATAAATGACTAGGGAGCTGATAACATCTGGAATTCAAATATCTCCTTAAATGGGCTTCTGGATTTATCGGCAAGAAAGACCACTCAAAGAAGGGGGAGAACAATTCCTTGGTGAGACTTACAAAGAACAGTAGTAAAGAGTATTTCTATATGCATAAGTTTGTGTATTC